TCAAAACACGTGAAAAACTGCCGACCGGAGAGAGGGAGGGAGGGAGGGATGCCGGGGAGCCTCCAGGTCTCGCCCAGAAAATAGCGTTTCATTACATTCAACGCTGGTTTTCTGGGGGGAGCCCCTTTGACTTCCCGGAGCTAACTACCCACAGAGGAAAAACATAGGGACTTACCTGGGAGGTGGTTGCTGCTCACTCCTCAACTCGAAGGCAAGACAACTGGCTTCAACCGCCGACCCAAAGCGACACAGGCCTGACGAGACCCGGGGACATTCACCAGGTAGCAAGCAGCCAGGACCCTGTTCAACCGCCAAATGCCCAGTGCCCGAATGTCGGCCCAGGACATGTTGCCAAAGATGGCAGCAGGAGCAGGAGCAGCGAACTTATGGACGACATGGGATCGGGGATAGACCGCAAGAACTCTGCGGACGACCTAGGAGAGACTCGCCCGCGAACAGGAAACTGGATCAACCCAAAGCACGTCCCCAGACACAGAAGCCGTGGCGTGCAAATAACAGCGAAGAGCCGCAACCGGACACAAAACATGATGCATCCCCGGCCTGACCAACCAAGCATCAACAACCCAGGGACCCCTCCGGAAAGCAGCTGTCTCAATCTTTGCCAAAAAAGAAGGAGATGGCTGCAACCGAACAAAACCATCACGAAGACCAAAGGAGCGGAAACCCCTGTGCCAGAGAAGAGCATGAAGCTCTCCAACCCAACCCCCTGAGGCCAATGCCAACAGAAAGAGAGCCTTGGAAAAACAATCCTGAACCGAAGGGGCACAAACAAACCGAGGAGAAGGAAGAAAAGAGAGCACTCTGTTCAAAGACCAGGACGGCTCAGGCGGTGCATGAGCAGGCCGGAGGTGAAACAATGGACGAGACAGCTTGCGAAACTGTGACATCAATAACATCAATACCGAAAGCAAGCTGAAGGGGCTCCGCCAGCGCCGCACGATATGAGACGACAGTGTTAGACATAAGGTGACGGTCCTGGAACAAAAGAGAGAAAGGACACCACCACCCAAACAGAAAGCAAAGCAAAACGACGAAGAAGTAAAGAGAACCGGAAGGACCCCCAGGAGACCTCGTACTGCCGCCGAGAAAAAGCACACAAGAGGGACACGAACAAAGAAGCCACCTGATCTCCATTGAGATGAAGATAAACCCGAGTCAAAAAGACCATACGTAGACTCGAGGAGAAGATCGAACTAGCCACGTGATGCACCGGGTCAATCTGTTGGAAGAGGCGCAGCCGCAGAAAAACCTCCGGGTTCGGACACCGGGCAAACAGTGCCTGAAACTACGGCTGGGCCGGCTACCACAGGGCCAAGAGGACTACCCTCCCCTGGTAGATCTCCAAGTGAGTCAGGACCAGGAGCAACAGCTGGACCGGGGGAAAGAGGCACAGGAACCCCCATCTCGACCAGTCCTGCCGAAAGGCATTGACCCCGATGGCCTTGCAATCGGGGAAGGGCGCCACATACTGTCGGAAGTGCCATGACTACATTGACGCGAAGAGGTCCACCTCGGGATGCCCGAACGTCTGGCAGAGTCAATGGAAGGAGTCGGCATCAACTGTCCATTCCGTGGATAGGGAACCGAAACGAGACAGGCCGTCGGCCAAGACGTTGGACACTCCCCACACATGAACAGCCAGGAGAGCCAAATCCCGACAACTCAGCAGACGAGTCACCCGAAGCGACCAGCGCCAAAGAGCCAAGGACCGCATTGAACCCCCGCGGTTCAGGCAATGAACTACAGAGGAGCAGTCCAAATGGAGCCGGTTCGTCGATCTGCGGGCAATCTGAACCCTCCGAAGAGTAAGCCACACCGCCACGAACTTCCACACCGTGCTGTGGGCTAGATGGAAGGACGGACCCCACCACCCCTGGTCTGCCTGGTGAGCACTGGTCACAAAGCCCCAGCTGAGAGACGAAGTGTCCGTGAACACATCGAGCGAGGGCTCGGGTAGGCGCCAAGGCACTGAATCCCGAAAAACCCGAAGAGGAAGCCGGCAACGCAGCAGCCGATGCAAGGGGCCCCCGGGGTTCAAACTCGGTGATTGCGAGAAATGCGGAAGGGACCAGAACAGCCGACGAAGCCAAACCCCATCCGGCGGGTAGACCATCATCGCGGAATTCAGGCTTCCGCACAAACCCTCGAGCAACCGCCGAGTGACCCGGGACCCCCCCCTCCAGGAACAGGCGCAAGCGAGACTGCAGCCAGAGGAGAGACCCTGAGGAAGAGACAAGGAAGCGGTCCGAAAGTCCCACACAGGACCCAGCCACAACCGAACCTGGGAGGGAATCAGATGGGACTTCCCCAGTTCACCAAGAACCCAAACCCGGCGAGCTGGGAAAGCACCAAATCCCTGGCTAGCAGACAACTGGACCGACTTGGAGCACAAACCAGCCAGTCGTCGAGGTAGGCCAATACCTGAACACCTAACAGACGCAGATGGGCCACGACGACCCGCGTAAGGCACGTGAAAACGAGAAGTGCCAGATTCGACCAGAACGTGAGACAACGAAAGCGGTAACCTTGACGCCCCACACCTGTCCCTGAGCCAGTCCCTGAACCCCGGATGAATCAGGACGTGCCAATAAGCTTCCCGGTGATCCAGGGACACCATCCAAGAACCCAGCTCTAACAGGAGCCGAACTTGAGACAGCGTAGCCATCCGAAAGGAGGTGGCAATGAACCCAGGGGTTCAGATGGGACAAGTCCAGAACGAACCTCAGGTCCAAACAGTCCTGTTTCAGCACTGGAAACAGACGGAAACCCATCTGAGGGATGACGTCGTTTTGACGACACCCAAGCAAACCCACTCCAAGACAACGTGACGGAGCGCAGGAGAAGAGGCCTGTCCCGCCAGCCTGGAATCCCCCAAAGGAGGAGGGGCCACCCATCGCCACTGCAGGTCGAAGGAAATGACCCAAAACGCCCACAAATTGTGGGACCAGGCGTGAGCAAACAGTGCAAGCTTTCTACCCATTGCCCTGTCAATAGGGCGAACCGCGAAAGGGCAGATACCCCTTACAAGACCCAGAACCTTGCATGGAGTGAGCACCATGCCGACTAGACGAAGGAGAGTCCAAAGGCAGAGCCGAACCCGAAATTGGCACCAGTGGCCTACCACGACGAGTGGAACCCCGAGCCCTGGCACGACCTCCCCGGGAAGGCCACCCAGGACCTCTGGAGAACCAACAAGTCAAACATAGAACACCAACTGGCCAAAGCAGCCTGAATATACTGTGCCACGGCCGGAGCAAAAAGCAAAGGACAAAAGGGCGAAGATATCCTAAGAGCCAGGGCCTAGGCTGATTCCAAAGAGGAGGCAAGCACCTCCTGCCGACATGCGAGTCGGGAAGTGTAGAACAGGGAAACCGCATCCCTCAAGATCGTCGCAAACAGCTTCAACAAGGCAGACGCTGCGCGCGCCTCCGAGCACAAGGCACCGGACCCCGGAATGGCCCCGAGCGCGCCCACATCCTCCCCAAATCAGTCCAAAGACAGCTCCAGGAGGTCCCAGGGCACGCAAGTCCTCGGCCACCTGCGCAGCCAACAGGGAGGGAACCTGTACATGGAACTGCCGAACGCCAACATCCCGGGAAAGGGCAGGAGCAAACAAGCACTCAATGAGGTGCTCAAGGTCACCCCCCCCCCCAGAAAAACCTGAACCACCGAGACCTCCCGCCACTCAAGCGTGTGGGAATGCAACCCGTTCTCGCAAATTTAATAAGTCAATATTGACTTATTAGTTGCGTGCATAGGTGACATACTAAACTTAATAGTTTCCCTTGAAAAGCTTCATAGAAAACACCGACCTTACCTTACCTACTTAGTATGTTAAAATAAGCATCTTATAGCTTCGTAATTACAATTGTTACTTAACCTATTATAGGTATAGGTTAGGTAATAATTGTGATTACGAAGCAATAAGATGCTTATCTTAACATACTAAGTAGGTTAGGTAAGGTCGGTGTTTTCTATGAAGCTTTTCAAGGGAAACCATTAAGTTAAGTATGTCATCTATGCACATATTTAATAAGTCAATATTGACTTATTAAATTTGCGAGAACGGGTTGGGGAATGACAGAAAGAATGCCAAGCCTCCAAAGCAAAAACAGCACAGTCCACCAGCCAGGACGACTCCAGAACCTCATAACGGACCCAGAAAGAGAACGAACGAAAGAGAACAGAAGGGGGCCCACTGCTCAGACCCAGAGGCTTCAGCAGGGATATCGGACTCGAATGCCTCCGTCACCACACCGAAAGGGGCATCCCCCGAGACTCGAGACCATTTAAACCTTGCCCCGACCCCGAAACCCTCAGATGCTTCGGGGCTAGAGGCAGGAAGGAGGGGGGAGGGGGGGATCACGATGCACCACAGCAGGGAAAGGACGAGGTGTGGACTGAACCAAGGTCGAAGTGACCCCCCCCCCCCCAAGTCCGGGTCCCTATAAGTAAAACGGGGCAGCCTCGGGGCATCTGGGTGAGCAACCAACCTAGCGCGATGCAATAACCTAAAACGAGCATGCAATGCCTGCGCCGCCTGTACCTGTAGATCATCATCTTGAGATTGGGTAAACTGAGTAACCAACAAGCGTCTCCATCCACCTGCAGTTTGGGTACTGACTGGAATTTATGGTAGGGTCCCCCCCCTCACTTCCCACTTTCAGGTCAAACCCTGTACCCAGGATCTTCCCCAGACTGTCTTGGGAAATCCTTCAAGAGATTCTACTCCAGGAAATCAGAGTGCTGACCTACCTAAATGACCGAGATGTTTATCTACCATTTTCCATCACCTTAGCTTCCAACGACCGAGAGGAAACCCCCCCCCCCACCCTTCCCTGGGAAATTTATATCTAATTCAGTAGAAATAAATACATAGAATTATTAAACAAAAAAGTGCTAATCATTTTTTTTCCTAGCTGGTGTCTGAAAGTACAAGTAGTAAAATGTGGAATAAAATTCATCAATGCAATACTTAC